GCATCTATATACGCCATTGCGTATTTTTTTCTCTGTTGAACATCAAGAAAACGGAGATTTTCGTGCATTTGCCAAAGTGGTGCTGTGCCGTTCCCACATAAGTAATTGTATTCTACAAGCCTTTAAAAGTACAAACATAAATTTCCAGCTCTCTACAAGCTTTAGTTCTCGAAAAATTGGAATTTTAGCTTGGACCACATGACTAGGGAAAACTGTATTCGATATTTTTCGAGAAATAAAGCTTGTAGAGAGCTGGAAATTTATGTTTGTACTTTTAAAGGCTTGTAGAATACAATTACTTATGTGGGAACGGCACAGCACCACTTTGGCAAATGCACGAAAATCTCCGTTTTCTTGATTTTCAACAGAGAAAAAAATACGGCAACGGCGCATATAGATGCACTATGTGGATTATGTTTACGTGAGCAAGTTAGAATTTTTATAGGGTTTTTATGAACTGAGTTACGATTTTTCTCAATTTTTCGGACATTTGAATGTTTTTAGTTTTTGGCGCGAAACTCATTGTGAATCAGAGCTATTGCTGAAGCAAAATAGCCATCTGGTAGAGCTTGCTTTGCTCTATCGAATGGTACCTTGCAACCTACTTAGAAATGAGAAGTGTATGACTTATTGCGGTTGGAATTCAAAACCTGCATTAATTTCTGGACAACCTAATACCTGTGCTAATTGGAGATTCCTAAGAAATCTATAGACGGAGATACGATTATATTTGAATTGGACTTGTAAAATAATGTAATTATAATTGTATTAGGTCGTAACAAGATTAATGCAGACTTTTCACACCTCTTTTTCAAAGTGCTAGTTCAAAAAAATTCCATTGTCTTGGAAAATTATGCGTATCATCTAAAAGCACTCTTCTTCTAGTTTCTACATAGCTTTCAATTCAAAAAAAGTGTGCTCTCTAGGAATTACGTGCTTTGAAATCCAGAGAGTAAACTCTGAAATTTTCTTAATTAAAACTTTTAGCTCTAATTTCACCGCGAAAAAGTAGAAAGTTTGCAAACTGGCATAATGTTTGTATGTGACCTGCGCTGCAAAATGCACACCAAAGCAGATTTCTTTGAAAGCGCCAAGATCGAGAAATTTCATTTTAAACCCGAACAATCACTGGTATCATGCTGCGGCGTATAAACCTAAGCGCGAGGCAACTGCGAGCTTTTGCCGTGTACAGCAACAATGGACATGGGACATTTGATAGCAAAAGGACCGGAGGCTGCTATCCTCTTCGCAAGAGATTTCAAAAAACAGCAAAAAACAACTTTTTCTCCTTTCCAGAGCAATTGATAAGAATGACTGGAGCAGAATTTTTTCGTGAAATTCAGGCTTAACGCTGCTGCATAACCGACTATTGTCCACACAGTAAATGAAGTTTGTATCATCCTACTACATTGCATAGTAAGTTATGGTCTCTCATAGTAAATGTTTTCCACTTTTGGCAGTCTTCGGGCTATAAAGTCATTCTCAGTGAAGCTACAGCGACATAGCAATGCGTGCTAAATTGCCAAAGGTTTACTGATTGCAGTAGTTTTTATTGGAGACGAAATGGCTATTTCTGTGGAAAGCTAGATAGTTCTAATAACTAGTTAAAATTAGCCCGGACTCGAAATCTGGAAAACCTGCATTAATTCTGTTACAACCTACTCAAATGTAATTTATTTGATATTTATAATATTTGAGATTCGATCTCCAGGTGGAAAATCGTTTTCGCGGTGGTTTGTGCACCATTTTGTAGAGCTTGCTTTCCCCATCAAACTATAATCCATTCACTGTTTTTCGTGACCATTCTGTCGTAATAGGTTGCAATGCAGTATTTTTCGAACAATCTAACACATCTTGGTCTTTGCAACTATTATGGCCAAAATGGGATAGTCAAACTTTATTAAGCGACCCAGGAAGCCCAGCAATTGACTTTCCTCAGCAAATGTTGGTAAATTGTCACATTTTGACTGCAAAAAATCGTATTGCAGTGCTTAGATATCCAAAGGTCCCTTTGTTACTTCTTAAGACTTCGTCTTCCTTCGGCTGCTTCCATCATCTTGGCTTGCCTGTACTTCCTGAGATCCTCCTGCAAAGCTGTTCTGCAAATGGCGTTGGCTATCAGTCGCTCGAGATGGGTTGCATTCGGATTCTGCCTCAGAAATAATCTTCTTTCGAGCAACTCCTTGGTGGTCCGCATTGGAGTGAACAATCTTTATTGTAATCCAACATGTAGCCAAAGCTTGATCCAATCACAACATCATCCCCTGTGGGCCCTCCGAAACTTAGAACAATTCAATCGATACGAAATTATTTGGCTGACCTAACAGCAAGAATTTTTCGATTGAGTGGGTTTTCGTTAATATTATGTGATAAATGAGAATTGCACGCAAAAACTCGTCTTTGGTTGCGAACATCCTGCTTTTAATTCAGAGACTGAATATAGACAAATCTTCAAAGTTTATGATGGAAGTTTGTCAAATACACCTATATGGCCTATGGAAAGAAGGTTGCTTATGAGGATTATCCTACGTCAAGAAGTTTAAAGAATTGCGTGCTTGCACTGGGTGGCTGGTCAATACTGAATTTACCTGGAAGAGAAGAAATTCGCGTTTTGTTGCTTACCTCGAACAGGCAAGGATCACGCAATAACTCAACGTTCGACAAAGACTTCCGAGAGAGTTTTGAAGCCATTATCTGAACCTGTTCACAGCCCAGTAACATTCACTGTTATTATTACTTTCATGTCTGTTTCTCCCTTTTCTACTGATAAGAAAGAGCAACGACTGTTTCCTGCAGACATAACATAAGCTGTTTGCAGATGCAGTACATGTGCTGCCGTTGTTATTTGCAAGGGAAGCTGCCTAATTTAGCTCGGCCTTTTGGCAGGGACATATATATTCTGAATCAGCTTCGAACGCTGATTTATATGCTACTCCTAGCTTCCGCGCACCATTCCGAAGCGATTTATGGGCTTTTTCTTGCGCCAAATTGGCATACTCATCGACTCAGTGGCATCACAGCTTAATCAACTAAGTGCTAATACGCTTGCGTCAAGCTTCTTTTTAGCGGAAGAATTTGCCCCTTGCAGATAAAGCCGAGCTAAATTAAGTAGCTTTCCTTATCGGATTGCATATATATTGTCAGTTTGTTATCATTAATTGTCTGACTAAAAGACACGGGAACGCTTTGCGTACGTCTGATCAACAAGTTCATAAGTTCGTCTCAACGCATTTTCGAGAACATATTTGAATTTCGTTGTTTAACGAGTTCAAACATGTTCTTAACAAATCCTCAAAAGTAAATCAACCGAAAACGCGTTAGAACGCACTCATTAACTTGTTAGATCGACATACGCAAAGCTGATCGTGTCTCTTAGTCAGGGAGTGAGTGATACGATGAATATTAATAATGTTGAACTTCTTGAATATGCAATAGGTACAGGGAATTTCAACGGCTTGGATCCTCGCAGCCGCTTCTCGTGGGCCATATGCGGCCTCCGCGGACCCATCATGGGCATATTGCTAGACTTGAGTTTATACGCTGCTTGGCTGCCTTCTCCTCACCAGTTTGTCTTTTTATTCCAATCATTTTCTCCGTTTTTGAGTCTTCAATTATTCTATGGATGTTGAACTCCTTGATTGTTCCTAGCTCTGCCTGGCTCAGCCATTTCCAGCTAATTAATAGCGGTAAGATCCAGAACTTGTAGGAAGTGTGATTTGTATCTATCTGTGCCATATTTGCTCTGTTACTTACAATGACGACAGATTAATCGCACTGTTTGCAATGAAGAGAAGTATAACTTATGATCTTAACTGCCACCTACAATTTTTAGCTGACACTTCATCAACAGGATGAAAAACAGCTAAACCTGGTAAAGTAAGAATAGCGCCGGTCCTAAGTAGACAAAGCTCCAGTATAAGAGTCAATTGAGAGAAAAAAAAACGAGTGAGAACAGTTTGTGAAATTGCAGGAGTCTAGCGAAAATGCGGAATCAATATTACTTTGGAGACCAGATTAGATCAGATTAGATTTAGTCTTTAAGATTAAATTCAGCAAAGCAAACAATGTTTTGTAAGGAAAAAAGGCCTGAAACAATTTCTAGAAAAATCCCCCCTGCGATACTCCCGCTGCAGGATCCAGGCGCTGCCGCGAGGACACAGTCACAAGGGCTGTGACACTGTCGTCGAGATTTTTTATAGCCATTTTTCCGTCAATCGTAAATTTTTTCTTTTTGCTTTCGGTGGATCGCCAAATGCAAAGGCTCATTTTCCCTCTACTTGTCGCCCCGCACTTTTACTTGAGTCTTATATTTTATAATTTGAATGAGAATCAGAAACGGCTCTTTACTTGGATATGTAGTGCGATTAGCTCCACCCTAAGATTATTCAGGGCCAATTTGGATTTTATCTTACGGAAGCCAAACGCAACTGGTAATTATCAATACTGCAAACGGACCTGTATTAAGCTCATAAACATTACGTTCACAGTGCAATAGACAAGACTTCTCAGCTAGGTTTCAGAAATCAACAAACATGCCACGCGTACTTAATAACGTCAGTGATGATTCATAAGCAAAGAACAGTATCTCTGACAATTTAAAGTAATTGACAGCTCTCCAGAAAACCTGTTTGCCTTTTTTAGTTTCAAAGTAAAATGACACATAGCTTTAGAGCGTTTATGACAGTATTTTCGTGCGAACGTAAAAATGAGAACTGCAATTTTTCTAGTATTTTCAGGCATATATAGAATACTTAGAAGTCATAAAAAGAGAGGGCAATGTTGATTAAGGAACTTATAACTTACAAAAAATTGTTTTGAGGCTCTTTTTCAAACACTGCCACAAATTAACCTAAGTAGCACATCTCCACGCGATTCACCGACTGTTGCTGTTCACACTATGTTTTCATACGCGATCAGACTATTTCTTTGCCGAACTCTTACGTCGCAGCACACGTTATCGGTAATGTTGATGTCCAGAAATACCGGCAAACGACATCATGGTCGACTCATGCGCAGTACATAGTGCTCACATTGATGCTGTTACTGCCATCGTCCGTTCTATCATTCTTTTTTCTCTGTAAGGCCATTCTATTTAGATTTGAATTATGATTGTAGGCTTCCACAAGCTCAATTTTTTCAGACACCCTATTATGTGAAGCTATTACGGGAGCACATGGTCGAAGACGTTTCTTAGGATTCCCCAGAAGAGGCCTCTTCGGAGGAGGCCAACAACGATTTGGTAGCCAACGAGGAGGTTTTGGAAGAGGCAGCATGTACGGAGGGCGCTCCTTGGGAAGGCCTTTTGGCTTCCCTGGAAGGGTCTTTTCGAGGACTTACGCCGGACGCTTTGGTGGTGGCTATCCTGCAGCAACTCGAAATCCTTACCGGCCCAGCTATGCAAATTACAAAGCAGGCTTCAACCGCTTTAACCCCTATTCTAGAACACGCTACGGTGGAGTGCGCTCCCCAGCAGGCTTCGCAGGTCGTCGTCCTGCGGGTGGGTACGGTAGCCGTCCTGGGGTTGGGTATGGAGGTGCTCGGTCTACGGTCGGCTACGGTGGAAGTCGTTACCCTGTAGCAGGATTTGGAGGAAATCGTTATGCTGGAAGAGGCTTCGGCGCAGCACATCGACCTGCAGTAAATTACGGTGGAGGCCGTAATCCTGTCGGCTTCGGTATGGGTCGAGCCAATCATCCAGCAGCAGGCTCTGGAGGAAATCGCTACTCTAGATTAGGCTTCGCGGGAAACCATCAGCTAGGAATGGGTATGTATGGTCGAGGAAACCACCCTGGTATGGCCTCCGGTAATGGTCGTTTTCCGAATGGACGCAGCGGTTCTAATCAAAGAAACCCTATGGGTTGGAACAATCGCGGAAGATATGGAATGAAGTAAGAATCTTTTTTTAACAACCTTTGCTTGCCGGCAATTTCTAATATTTGATCAACCTGTCCACGAGAAATGAGATTTGATGGAAATGAGCATCATTTTTGAAAATAGTTTATACGGTTCGCCAAAGTTAACGCTCTCGTTAAGATTGTAACTCAATTATTAAATATATATATAAATTCGGCAACGAACGTCTCTTGCATAGTAACTGAATGCAGACTGCGATCGAAAAGTCGAAGCGCAGCATGATTTGTCGCATAAGCGGAAAGGTGCTTTCAGAGTTTTTGTATTTGAACAACACACTCAACTGTTTCCATCACGAAATTAACATCTCTATAAAACGAAGAAATTAGGTCTCCTTTGGGACGACATGTTGGAATCGATATGATGAGTCAAACGCTGTACTTAGATGCCATGTAGAGTACTGTAAAACTATTTGGTAAGACAAAGCCTTTCCTCTTGTGCACCTTGCAAAGTCAGCAACTTAAATGCTAGCGCTCTTTTGTAGAGTGTTGAAAATAAGAATTAGTGCACTGAGGTAGCCGAAGAGCAAAATGTTTTTATTACAGCCGTTCCGGACGGTTCTCTGCCCAAGGGATGGACCGATTCGGCCGCTACCCTGGTGGAGCTAGAGGAGAAGGAGGTAGACTGGGAAATGCCAATCAGCGTTACCCGGGAAGGAGAGGAGGAACAGGAAGTGAATGGGGAAGAGGCCGTCATGGTTCGAGAGGAGGAGGAGGAGAAGGAAGTGGAGGAGAAGGAAGAGGAGGAACCGGAAGTGAATGGGGAAGAGGCCGTCAGGGTTGGCGAGGAAGAGGAGGAGAAGGAAGAGGAGGAGACGGAAGAAGAGGGAGAGGAAGAGGAAGAGGAGGCGGCCGAGGAAGAGGAGAAGGAAGAGGAGAAACAGAAGGTGAAGAGAACAAAGATGGTCGAAAAGGCCGTCGGCGTCAAGGGCATAGAGGGAGAGGGGAAGGAGAAGGAGAAGGAGAAGGTGGAGAAGGAGGACAAGGAAGCGGAGGAAATGGAGAAGAAGGACAACAAACAGAAGGAGGTGGTGGCGGTGAGTTAAAAGGCTTAGGTTCACTGCAGACATGCTTGATTTCTGCCTAACGTTGGATAATAAAATACATGTGAGAGATATTTAGGCTCCAGCGATTACGGTGATTACGATAACAGTGCCATGATCGTGTCAAGCATAATGGGTTTGTTCATTTTGTTCTAATTTTGCAAACACGCGTTAATGAAAATTTTGAAGAGGGAGTGTCTTCGGGAATATCTGCTGCTGGAGAAGCTATTGCATCTCTCGCACAGGCCTCGCAGGGTCAGGGCGATATGGGGGCAATGCAGCAAGGGGGCGATATGGGGGCAATGCAGCAAGGTCAGATGCAGGACTCACAAAATATGCAAGACACACAAGGAATGCAGAACATGCAAGGCCAACAGGATCAGGGCCAACAGTCAGACTCTTGCGGTAAGTCTTTGTCTTGCATTTTTTTGGTTTCTAATTATCGAGCTCATTTTGCAGCCGCTACGTTCGCGTACACAGCTTCCAATGGCTCTCCAGTTTATAAGTGCGAGTGTTCTAGTGGAACCACGTATCAGTACAATGGTTGTGTTGATAAGGGGGGCTAACTTTGAAAAGAACATTCCAACCTCACGTCATTATGATGACCGTATACCACTACTATAGTAGTTACAGCCTCCAATTGTTTTTATTCAAACAAAGAGTGAATATAATTTGTTGTACAGACTACAAAAGCAAGATTGTGTTCTGCTTTATGTGACGTACACTTGGCTCTGATATTCTGAAGTGTGATTTTTGGAATTCTGCTCATACCTTGCTAAATTATGCAGGGTGTCTTGCGCACTTATGCACATTGGTTAACTGTCTTCCAGTGTCTTTCGTCACTCTTCAGCTACCATTCTGTAAAGTTGGCTTCACCTCAGTTCGCTATGAAGCTAACCATCAATCGCTCTTCACTACTACAAGATCAAGGTTAAATTTTATAGAGCTCAATGTGGCACAGGCCGCCTTCAAGAAAAATTCGAACGTGCTATAGAATGCTCTAATCAATCACAAGCATTTAACCTTTTGAATGGTGTCATCAAATTTGTCAAGAACAAAAAAGGTACCTGTTACAGTATACTACAGTATATCGAAAATAACTTATAAATGAAATATCACGATAATGTCAACTTTCATATTCTTTAATTAGCAGCATAGGAGCTTCAGCTTCTCTGGTCTCCAACATAAAACAAAATATGACCTAAAATGGCCCAAACTACGACAATGAATAGATTGGTGACCACTCTATACAGTATATTCAAGTTGCCGACTCTAATGGTGTCTGAAGATCGGCGAAAACGCATACTACTATAATATAATCAAAACGATGATTTTAAATCTATGTATGCTCCGTCTGCAAAACAAAGTATGTGCAGAAATTTATGAACGTTTCTCGACACAAAGTTGCACTGCTGCGAGTGTCAGAGGCAATGCTAGATTACATTGCTCTTTCTACAAAAACTTCAAAGTAATTAGTCCTAATAAAATGGTGTTTGATCACTGGTGCTGCGCCGTACCATGTAGCCGACAATTTGGCTACCGCTGACGTTCATAACTATCCCGCATGATCGCTTTGCAAACAGTGAACATAGATTTGAAATCAGCATTCCGGAATGAATCTATGTATAAATAAAACCGAAACTCTGTAAATTTGTTCGTTTGCAAGTATGTGGCCTTATAGACTCTTTTGTGTGTGAAGCGATGGGGCTAAAATTCGTCCCCATAAATAAGATACGGCGCACAAGATAGGCTACTTTTTGCGACGATTTGTTGGGCCTTTCAATCGATTTATTGATTTGTTTACTTAAATCGAGGGTTTACCAACCATTGTTGGATCATTTCTCCACAGTCATGTAGGTTGGGGTGAACTTCATTTACATTTTTCGGCGAAAGGGATCCGGTTTTTCAAGTTAGCAAGGGAGACATCACATTTCGTCGTAGATTTGGAGCAGGGTGGTAATTTTCAACGCGTTTGGAATCAAGTAGACCAATTCCCGGGCGGGACGGGACGCCAGCTAGTAAGATATAAATTAGAAAAAAAAGATGATCTCGAGCACCTCTGCTAGAAACGTAAAGGTTGAAGAAAACACGCTCTCACAACTGCATGACTAAACAACACATATAGTAAAGTCAATGCTAATCTAAACGGTGCAAGTACAACCTCATTGATCCCAGATTACAAAATAAGAAAATCAAAGCTTTTACTCTTGTTCATATTCTATCGCATTTTGTTCAACGAAATTCGGTTTGTAAAGCTCCTCTTTTGAACTTGAGCTCTTACGCCGGTAAAATAAATTGAGCATCTTGAGCTGTTGACGTGACTTTCCTCTACGTACTTTGCTTATGACATAAATTCAAAAAACTTGCTTCTACAGCCTTTTGCATGTATATCGCTAAAAGTGACTAGATAACGTTGAGCCATTGTATTACATCATGCCAGATGTACTTCAGTATGCCAGATGTACTTCAGTATGGTGAATTACCAGGACTAAGATACTGTAACATAATGTCTATCGAACAGAACTACTATTTGGCTGAATGCTTTAGATTATAAACTGATATTCAATGAAGCCGAAGACTGTACTATACTAGAAATGACCAATTATCTGGGATATGCGACTCCGCTCGATGCCTGCCGACAGAACAGAAAACTCACCGTTCCGCTCCTCTTTCTCGCAACATTTCCAGTTTTATGGCAAGCCGTTAAAAACACCATTCACCCAAAATCTACTCACCCCAGATTACTACTTATCCCACTAGCAGGCCCTGAAGAAGACCAACCGCGTTAGTCCGGTCCATTAATGTTGCCTACAAAAGGAGATAACGGACCGGATTCTTTTTGCGCTCCGCCCCTTTTTTGCACTCCACCCGCCAAGGGTTCCCCGAGACATACTCTATCATGACAAGGAACGTGGAGACGCATAGTTTGTGATGTGGCATTGTCGCACACGACGGGGTTTCCTGTAGCATGCGACGTGGCTGGCGCCGGGACACTCGTCCAGGTCTGCCAAAATAGGGCCCCAAAAAAGGGCAATTTTGAAGTTTTTTGCTAATTTGAATCTCATATTCCGAATCACTGCCATGTAAAGGCCGATAACAATAAGAACATGGAAGACAAATTTTTGGGTGTACGCTACCTTTGAAGGCAGCGTACACCCAAAATTTTGGCTCGGCAGATTCTGGACTTGGGGTTTTTTTTGCTTACCTGGGGTCATTCGAGGCGCTGATTCCGAAGATCCACCTTGAAGAGCGCGAAGATGGCAAGAACCACCATCTCCCACTTCCCATTTTGAGTTTGGACAAGTCGACCACGTTCCGCCATGGTTAGAGAGGCAGAAACGTTGCGAGATCCTCGCAGTTATAACATTGCGGCATGCCTTCTCTGACGGGTCAAGGAGGACCGCAAGCTCGTCCGCACATATCAGAATGTCTTGCGCGTAATGGGGTTTTCTAGGCAAAGGCAGCACCTGCTCTGTTCTCATGTTAGAGGTGCAAGCAACCTTCCATGTCAAAATTTCGGGATGTTCGGTCTTGGCGAGCTGCTCCTTCAAGGTCTTGTTTTCGTGATTAGCAGCTCACTTGAATCTCCATACCAACTCCAACTCCCAGTCCCACAGCCTAACTAAGACTTGCAAGAAAATCGATAATATCGATAAAGGCAAAGGTTTTGAAGCGGATCATGTATTGCAATCAACATGCCTCTGCCCTTTTCTCCCCCCCCCCCCCACATAGCAAGTTCCAGTGTTCCAGCTAAAGATTTGTAAAAAATCAAAAAGCATGGACGAGGAAAGGTAGCATGCTGCATCGTCCTTCTCCAAAGTGCATGTATGCAAAGTATGGTTCAATGCGCAAAATATTCACTGAGTCTTGAAGTTTCAAAAAAACGTAAAAAGTGATGCAAAAGCCTTGACTCTGCCGTGTATGTAGAAAGGCGCCTTGGAAATTGTTCAGTATTGGCCTTTAAGCTTTGAAAATTCCTGCAAAATTCAACCTGAGACATCATAAGCTTGCCGCATAAATCGAATTTTCGTAATTACATTAGGCGCACTGTAATGTCCAGCTGGGGCACGCTGTTCTTTTTGGGACCCGAGTGTTGAAGGTAATCTGGGTCCTAGCGGTCCTAGCAGAAAGGAATGGAGGAGTTTCGCAAACGAGTTTGTACTAGGTGATCTTTGGATATTACAGATTTATGTGTAATCAAAACAGTAATCTGAAATTACTTAGGTTCTGAAAGTTGCCTCAGGGTAGAATTAGGTTTCACTCGCCACCTTTACATGAGAACAAAGTTTGTCCGATCTTTCTTCACATTAGCTTTTTTGAGTCTACACTTTATTCTTCATTACTCATTTGCGAATTTGGTGCTATGGGGCATTTGAAAAGTCGTGATGAGCTCAACCGCGCGCGACACGCACGCCAGTTCTGGAAATCGCATTTTCTTGAATTTCTAAAGTCGAATGGTTTTATTGCTTACGTATGATAATATTTAGACACTAAAATGACTGAGCTAAACGCTGAGGTAACGCCTTCTTGTATGAGCGTTTTCTGCTCCTGCGTGGGGCAAAGTCCGCAGCAGAATCCGTCGTCACGATTTTTTGAGTGAACTATATATCCTTACTCATGCATTGCAAACATTTCATTATGTTCATCAGTCAACAACGCAAGAGAAAAAATTGAGTACCACCTCTGTTAGTTCACATTCCAAAACTGCCGTTTCCTTGTTGTGCGCTGTAAGCGAGTCTTTATCTGGATAAACCCGGCTTTTGAGTCTTGCCTCTTGAGCAAAGACCAGATGATAGTAGTATCTCTTATGTAATCACGAAATTTCCTTTACCTTCAAACTAAAATGACTCAGCTTTATTTTTGCCCAATCATGCAGGGTCCTGCTTTGAATTTCAGTACATTAAACTCGAAAGACTTACAAAATGTGAATGCGAGGAAATTCGGATTAATAGCTTTGAAAAGGGATGCCCGCTTTGTTAATTTGAAAGTCCATGCACATTTGGAAAGCTTTTGAACACTCAGGAATTCGGGAGTATGAAGCAAGGAACTTGATGTGAAAAGAATTCACATTGCAGTGAATAACAATAAACATAGAGATAATTTGAGTTAAGAGCGCCGTTCTCAGTAACGCCAATACTTGGTGGAGAAAAAATTGGTGTGTTAATTTTAATGTTTTGCCCAACATTGCTCTTCTTGTCGGAAAGTGTGGATAGAGAAGAGAAGTGAGATCTTCGTTTTTCTCCTGACCAGAGGCATAATCAAGCTCTGCATTGCTTCAAGGGAGGAGTTTCGGGGAAGTGTCAGTTTGAAAACTTGATGAAGAAAAAATTTGCCTAAAGGGCCGGGCATACGGGGCAGCGATCCATCGCGTCGCGGGCTCTGCTAAAGGACAAGTGTTGATGCGTAGTATTTCCGTTAATATATGCTAGCTGTCCAGCGCGACGCATCGCTGACCGTTTCTTGTTAGGCCATACCCATGCAAGCGAAATCGCCGCAATCACGCTCATCTCAGCGAATTCGCATCGCTCATTTCAAATGCGCGTCGCGACATATCGCTTGGATTGTGATTTCTTTCCGGAAGGCTGTTCTTTACATAAGAAGTGCGAATGAGTCCAGTATTCTCCGAATGTATTGGTTTGCTTTAGTCATTTCTCTATTATTTGTTAACGACACCGCAAACTAACAACAAAATGTAGTGTTGCGTGAGAATGCACAAATCTCTTCAGAGGTATGCCCCATATCCGAGCGATTAGCGATCCATCGCGCTTTTCGTCGCCAGTTCCCAGCGGTTACAAAGTGCGACGATCGCCTCGCGACGGGTATGCCCGGCCCTTAAGATGGACTGGATTTTTGTCGGTCATAATTTGAACAATATCTATGTACTAAGTGTTCAACACTTATAAAAAAAATTATGCATGCTGAACTTGCAAGTCTTTGACGAGCAACACTTTTTATTGTTTTTCTCTCTTCATTCTCAATTGTAGTGGCAGTGTTCCTTGTCCATATATAGAAATACCGGTCAACATCGTCACAGCCACTCATACGCACATCACAGTGCTCAGATGCTGATGCTGCCGTCGCCGGTTCTGACGTTGTACTTTCTACGTAAGTTTCCCCCACCTTTTTTAATCTTTTTTCAGAGATACTTGCTTGATCTCTCTTTTCTTACAGAAATAATCTTCCTATGTGATGCTGCATTTACGCGACACAGAAGACCTTTCTTAGGATCTAGAGGGAGGCTGCTTGGAGGAAGTCATAGCCGAGTTTTCAACGGTCATCGAGGAAATTTTGGCAGAAGCGTGAACGGAGGAATTTCAAGGGGTACTCAGCCTTTGCACGGAGGACCTCAAAAAATTCCGCCCCGCGGAGAGATGGGAAGAAGATTTCACCCACGCTATCAAGAAGCTATGAAAAGCCATGGCTACGATTTAGGACGTTACCGTGGAGGGAGTTCTCGAGAATGGAGCCAGCACCGCCAAGAACTAGACTACCGGGAAACTTCTCATAACCCAAGTTACCGAGGGGGTCTAGACCATAAGTGGGATCGAGGCAACGGCCGTAATTATGATCCACGTTACCGTCAAAGCCAAACTCGTAACGGGGGTCAAATCGAGAGTCGTAGCACTGCAAGAGGCTTCAGTAGAGGCTCTGTAGGAGTGGGTTATCGAGGAAATCTTTACAACAACTTCTTTGCAAACCCTCTAAGGAACGGTTATTGGTCAAGATATGGAAGATACTATAGACCAGGCTTCTTTGGAAGCCGTTATAGAACAGGCTACGGCGGATTTTATCATCCTGGATTAGGGTTAAACCCTGAAATCGACGAAAACAGATCAAGCTCTGAAATCAACACAGGAAGAGATCCTTCAGCTCGAAATACGGGGTAAGACCTTTCACAATTTTCAAATGTAGCCTACGAAGAATAGATAGTGAATTGCTACTTTGTGCGATTAGTTTCATTTCAAGCAAATAGTTTTAGAGAGCTGCTCAGTTAATGCACTCTTATTCTCACTCTTTCTTTTCCTTACAAAAGATCAGAATTAATAGCAGTAAGGTCAGTGAGCCCCAGAAATGAAGAAGCACCTTTTAGCATCCGGGTATGTCACCACTGGATATCAGGCTGTAAAGGGGGTACTTTTGGCTAGCGTGTGTAAATATAACTTGCGCAAATGATGAAGCATGCGGGAGCAAAACGAGCTCAAATAAGATAGCACATAAAAATGATACGTTAAAACATCCCTTCATGTGAAGCATCGAATTTTTAATTTCATAAAGTCTTGCGGACCTATGTGCTCAAACCTGCATAGACACCATAAAGATGTTTGGGCCTTTGCTGCTGCCAAATACCAAGAAAACGAATAATTGAAAGTGGCAAGCTATGCATTTAGCAGCCCCAAATTTTCTTCTTAATTGCATCTAACTACAAAACTTTGAAATCACAGCGAGTACAACCATCTACCCTCTTAAGGTGCTTAACCTAGAAAAAATCGATTTTAGCTTCAATTCCCAAAATCTTGGAAAGAACTGCTGCAAAGGCAGGGAAACGTTTTTGTTTTCCTGATTTATCAATGCCTGTCTTCCAAGAATCAGCGCCTTTTTTGGTTTTCCGATTCTGCACTCCTGAGACAAACATGTCATTTCAATTTGTGTAGATGTGATGAATGATTAGAATGATGACGAAAACTAGAAAAAATAAATTCTTGTCAAGTGTAGAACCTAGGGTTCGTCACGATTTGATGACGAAAGAAATCGTTTTTGGACTTGGTACGCTTTCTGAAAACAAAAAATACTTGTACTTAACATTATGGCGCATCAAAACTCGTTTTCCATTATTCTGAATCTGATGACGTTATACACATGATGAATCAGCGACAAACCGTTGCGACAAAGGGGGTAAAATTGTTTTACGCTGTTTTGGATGAGAGAGCACAAATTAGTTCTAGAATTGCCTGTTTTACGCTGCGCAAAGTAAAAGGAGCCTTACACCATCAAACAGAATAATCACAGAATAATCATTATTGATAAGTATAAACAGATACGATTACTCAGCAATTCCTTACAAAGTACTAATCTTTTTCTTTTAGGCGTAACCTGGAGCAATCTTCTTTGCAAGGAAGCGACCGGTTCTTCTCAGGCAATGCCGGAGAACGAGGAAATATATGGGGAAGAGACCGTTCTAGGAACTTTTCAAGAGGAGGAGGTGCAGGAAACATGGCGGAAAGAAGTCGTTTTGGAAACCTCCCATCGAGAGGGAGAGGATTTATAATAGGAGGCCGTAACATGAACACATTAGAAGAGATAAGAATAGGAGGAAGAGGAGGAACGAGCATAATCGAAAGAGGACGTAACGAAGACCTTCCAGCAAAAGCAGAAGAAGTACCTGAAGGTGATTCTGGAAATATAATAGTAGAAGAACGAGAAGAATCAGGAGAAAGAGGGACAACAAGAGGACTTGTGGACAGAGGAATTATCGAAAAATCTTCAGATAGAGCAGGAAAAAGTTCTGCTGAAAGAGGTCGTTCCAGTAATCTTCCAGAGAGAGCAGAAGGAGCTGCAGATGGAAAAGAGCTTTTAAGAAACCCAACAGAGTTAGAAAGAGTAGGAGCAAAAAGAGGAGGAGCAGAAAATTTGTTGGGTCGAGAACGTAGCGGATTTCCAGTAAGATCAGAAGAAAGCTTGGCTGGAACAGATCGTTCTGGAAGTTCGGCAAAAGAAGGAATGGAAATGAAGAAAAACGGAGCAGGTAGTATCATAGAAAGAGGTCATTTTGAGAACTTCCCAGGAGGAACAGGAAGCGTGAAGGAAAGGGATCGTTCCGGAAACTTAGTAAAAGAAGAGAGGAATGAAAGGAATCGCTTCGGAAGCTTCGAACGAAGAGCAGGAGGAGGAAGCGCTGTTGAGAAGGTCCGATCCGAAACAGTAGGAGAACGACGTGCAGGAATGGAAAGAAGCCGTTCTGAAAACATATTAGGAAGAGAAGCGAACGTGGCGGAAACACACCGTACTGAAAACTTTGCAGATGTTGGGAGATCAGAAGAAAGTGCAGCCGAAAGAGTTCACTTTGGAAACTCAGCAGGAGAAGGAAGATTGGGAAAAACAGGAGAAAGAGGCACCTCTGAAAACGTAGCTGAAGGAAGAGAAGGAAAAGCAGTATCAGAAGGATCTTTCAACTTCAATAGACGTGGTATGTATTTTAGATAACTTGTATTGACGAATATAGATGTTTAAAATTTCAAAAAAAGTTTATTTAGATTTCTACGATGGCTTTTACGATGACTTCATGAGATACAGCTTAATAGGTCTGTTTGCTAATCTAAATCTTTTGCGATTGCAATTCTATAAGACATTTTGAAGGAGGAACACTTTCGGGAGTATCGGGTATAACAATGGCTGCATCAACCTTAGGTGCAGGAGCAATTCAATCGCAGATTATGCAGAATTCACGAAGAGAGCAGCTAACGCAGGACATACAGGCTCAACAGAACACGACAAGAAAGTCTGAATCATGCGGTGAGTTTGATTTTTCTTCTCGAACTTTCGAAAATCTCATATGCTGAGTTTTTTTTAGTCGCGACATTCGCGTATATGGCTATGAACGGCTCTCCAGTCTATAAGTGCGAGTGTTCTGGAGGAATTTCTTATCAGTATAACAGATGTGTGGCTCCTGGCGGTTAATTTTTTTTGAAAAAGATCATAGATTTACCAATTTATCTAGTGACGGGCTTGTTATGATTGAGATCCTCTCTTTTTGTGTTTCCTCTCAGGTATGAGACTGTATAACTGATGCTGTACAAAGCGCATAAATATCTGTATTGCTGTGTTGCTAAGATTGCATCCAAGGTCGCTTGCATCTCGAAATTGAAGTCAAAGCATGGGACGCAATCGCAACCGTAAACCTGGTCAGAGTCCTATTTTACTAAACTTGTCGATTAATTGAAGGAAGCATGTAATTAGTCTTGCCAATCTCACAATCGTAAGCCCTCCAGAGCTATCTAAAAAGATCATAGCACTGAAAGCTTTTCAGACCGCTGGTTGAGCTAAAGTGGGAAGATGTAAAGACATTATTGGAAACAGAAATCACGCCAGACAAAGATTTGCTTACGCTGTATTTCCAAACTCTCAGGCGAGTAGGGACTGGAGCTAAAGAGAAAGTTTCATATTGAAACGTTCCAAAGATCCAGATTTCTCATCGTCTACCCATCTCCAAATAAGCTATGGCAATCAAAATAACAAGTGAGAGGAAAAGTTTTGTATCAACTCTTTTCACACCCAACTTAGACGGTACGCAAAACCATGGAGATTGCGCATTACATGCAATTTTACATGCATTTCGCATTACACGCAGGTTTGCTTATCTTGAGGGGATTATTTTTCCATGTGGTTAACAAAAATTTCAAAATTAGGTGCTGAGGATCCACTCAACATCGCCAGTGCATGACGTTAAGTAAAAGACAAAAGTCAAACCAACGAGCCTTCTTTTTATAACGAGGGCAATCGAGAATTCTGAAAGCAAAGTGTAGCATCGTCATGCACACTACTCTCCCCCCCCCTCCCCGTAGTGGTAATCCGAGGAATTTCTTCTTGGGTTTGGGGCACAGAAGTTTCTTTCTTGATGATGGGGCGTGGTGTTGACCTCTTTCTCCAGAAAAAAGTTTTGAGATGCTAGAAATTTTGTAATGTTAATTCAGTTTATGACGTATGAATTTTATTCTAATCATTTACAAGCAAGAACAAGTTACTTGCGCAATTTTAGCTAGTCTACCATTTCCTACTTTTCTAGAATTTCACTTTCTCAGAGACTCTTATTCACCACTACAACATAAACATTTCAAAAGCCCGCTTCATTGTTGTTGCAGTTTTCTGAACATTTTTTGACTACCGTATTTAGGAATTTATATCCGCAACGACCTTATGTGAAAAAATACTATCGCAAGTTTGATGAGAAATGGTGCCAAAAAGGTTAATTTTCACATTAAATTAAATTGTCCGCAAAATATGTCGCATCATGTGCATATACGACAGCGAAAAACTGGGTGGGATAGTCTGTGAAAGAGCAAGGCAAATAATGGTAGCAATGCTAACAAGGAAAGCGTGTTTAGTCGAAGTGGCCTTATTAGATGAGACCCACACTGCTTTGAAGAGTATTGCACGCTGATTCCAAATATGCCTTGCAAATCTGCCAAACGCCTCTACACGTCCAGTTATGATCGTTTTTTGGAACGAGAAATGAATGCAGAATTTAGGTAAAATCGATTGTTACAATCTCTCCAGAGCTCAAATAAAGCAGTTTTGAGTGCTCAAATATGAGGAAAGTTCTCAAGTTTTGACGGCTATGTTCCCTTAAAGGCAGCCTGATGGTGCGAATGCAGTGGCTATGGTTCACTCAATTACAAGGAAGAAGCACAACTACAAAAAATCTAAATAAGTGTTTTTGAAACTTACTTCTGGTACAGGCGTCCCAGAGCACTTGACAAACTGCACATTCAAACACTCATAACTCCTCCCAGATGATTGGTTGGCAGATAGTAAAATTAATTCGTAATCAGCGTTCGAAGACGAGTTCGATGGTATATAGCATGTTCGGTATGGCTGGGTTAAATTCTGACCCCTTAAGCTCCATCTAGATAGTGATGAAAGTGTGAGCTGTACATAAGTACAGCCTAACTTTTCAGAACTTAGTTTCAGCATAGACATGGATATTCAGCAAAAATGTACATGTGATCTGAGCCGGCAGTGATCTCCCCGACCTGGCGACAGGTCTTACCGTCAGCCTACCGTTATTTCGACGTGAGATCGGCGAAAACCAAGAATAGAAATTCGGGTCCTAAACCCCCTTTCAAGAAAAGCCTTATTGGTAATGCCATAACGACCTTGAAGGAAACACATCGCAATTTTTACATTTACATTTACATTTATTCATCCTCAGCGGTTATATACATTTGATACCGCGATGATTCCGCTTACGGCTTGAGTTGGGCGACATCGACTTCGATCGCCTTCGATAGCAGAAATTCAATCTTGCTCGTGCCAACCAGCGCATTCTCGTGACGTTACGATCTTGGTCCATGACTTCTCCACCAAGAGACCTAGTGGACCAGCCACGGTTTCTTCCACCTTGTCTTCTTGATGCTATCCTTGGCGGATGGTATAGGTCAGAGCTAAAAAGTAGCCGACCGTTTGCGGGAAGGATGAGGAGGGAAGTGATCTAATTAATCTAACATCGCAGTTTAGTTTCCAAAAACATTCTATAACTATAGAAGGGGCAGGAAGTGCTGCTGGCAATTTTTCGAAGTAACTCCGTCATCCTGTTGGCACCGCAGCGATACCGCGCTGAGAGCTGCCGGCACGTTTGAGGAGCACGAGGAACAATGTGATATTTGGGGAAAATGCCATCACCTTGACGTGCTTTTTCCGTACCAACTCGATATACTGGCGGATTGCGGCGGCTTCTGTGGGATTTGCACGATGCTGCATTGTCACATAAATTAAGTCTTAGCAGTGCTCGGCATGAGGTGACTTCTTCCATTTTTGAAAAACGAAGTCCCTGTAGGCTTCGGCACAAAAATACGACATCACCTATGAGCGATCATGAAAGCATGTATAGCATGTACATGTGGTCGATTGATAGCGCGCCCTCGCTCGAGATCGGTGATACCACCAGATAAGATAGACCGGCACTGATGCGCTGACTACTTGCGTGAACAAACTCGGGGGTCATAGGGATTTTGTAGAAGGAGATTCGACTTGTCGGAAATGTGCAGTTTTTATCTTGAGTTCAAACTTTACGTTGATCTGAGAGTGTGTGCTCTCCATCATGTAGAGCTTGCTTTGCTCTATCGAAACCCCACTCACCCTAGTGGAATGTGATGCTACATCAATTTTGGACAACTTAATAAAAGATGTAGTCGCAAAACTGTCATTTTCTGCCTCTTTCTCGAATATAGTCAAAGTTGACTCGCAGGCCAATTGGTCTAATGAATATACTTATTAACCAATTTTTGAAGCGAACTTAACTACGTTGCATCAGCCGTAAAGAGAAGTTGGAAAAGCAATTGAGGCTGACAACTCTGAAGACAAATTCCTGTAGGGGACTAGGATAAAGCTTTGCGTTGGCAGGAACACTATGAAGATTGGAGATGTTTTGCTATATCTCTGACAATAAAGATTAGTTTGCGAAAGAATAAAAAGAGAAGTGGAAAACAAGATGTGACGAAGCCGATTCTTTGACCAGGAAACTTATGAGAAGTAAGATTGTTATTAAAGCATCAGCTAGGAGACTTTTGCTTGTACACATTTTCCAAGTTGGGGGGGGGGGGAGAGGTTCATGGGCTAACTTTTTCTTCAATCCTTATGTTAAGTATTGAAAGCAAGCATGAGCTTTGAACAGCGTCGATTCAATGCAAGCTTGAGCTTTGGGCAATTTCTGTGCAGTAAGACACGTGAGACATTTTGGGGAGATTTTCATTTTTACCTTAGCTTGGTGGTAGCTCTACAGAAATGACAAATAGTGTGTAATGCTGCAAATTTGTTTGCAAGTTCAAAAACTTTTGGTTAGCGTCTAGGAGAGCTTTTTACGCTGTGCCACAATGTGTAACTTACCTCAGTTTGTTTTCCGTCATTTTAGAGAATCATCGACATGCGCCTATTAGGTTTACGAGTCTGTAGAGTTGAAGTTCTGCCGTCCTTCTCTTGAGTGTTTGGTTTAAAACAAAGTATCTGTACCGTTCGAAAGCTCCCATCTTGTTCTACAGAACTTTAGGCCTGATTTTAGCCTTTGAAGCAATCTGACGGCGAAAGTTGGAGTCGGGATCTGCATCTTCCGCTCCAGATAAGAGAATCAGTAAACTTTTCTATCTGTAATCGTGTGATGAGAAACAAATGTTAGAACCAAAATATCAAAGCAGTCATATACTTTGTCATAAGCCACTCAGGTTTGATACGATGTTTATTTGGTCTAACGTTTCGGCATTATGTCTCCCTCAGAGACCAGGAAGAAAGTCTTACACTTGCTTTCACACTATGCCGTCAAATTTCTCCCCTTGACTAGTTAGTTCGATGCCTTACGGGCACGCGTTAAAATCCCAAAAAACTGTAAGCAGCCTACCGTAACTTCCACTGATAGCGCGACCGTAGATGTTCAACTGCCACTGATGGTAACTATGTCCGACCAAACTGGTCAGCTTGAGTAGTGGCCGTATTTATAAGTGACAGTACGATAGAAATGGCATCAAGTCACTGGTAGTGGAGAGTTGTTCATTCTTTTCGTTTAATTTCTAGGCAGTTAGTATTTTTATCGAGAGAGACACTACATAAAAATAAAGCGCACTATTATAGCCATGTTTTGCGTTTACTAGAATTTAGGAAACTCTCTTGCCCAAATTTTTCTGAAACAAGTGGCCGAAGCTTGCTTTGCAGCACTTAGACAAAGCCATTCATTGGTCAATAGTCGATAGCAGCGGACGAAGGCAGTAACTATTGAGATTACGTAGGCAGTCTTCAGGACATTTTTGCTTTCATTTAGCCAGCATACCAGCCTTCCTTGCAACTAGGTATCCCGCCTTGTTATGTGAATATTTTAGGGATAAACTTAAAATGTAGAATTTAGGAGCCGCATTCGTCAATTTTTCACTTTAGAACTTCGATTCAGAGGTCATAGAACAAAGAGCATTGGGCAGTGCTTCGAAAACGAGAACAGGTCTAGAAAATTTATTGTTTTACAATGAAACGATGACAAAAGTAAATCTACAAACTTACAAAACGCTTTAATGAATGATATTGAAGGTTCCTCCATCCAGAACAATGAAGGACCTTTGCATGTTAGTAGTTCTTTGAAAGCAGAAGCGCCTTCCAAGCATTGTGGGAAGGGAAAGGCAACGTGTAGTAAGAGTGTAGGCAAGGATCCTCTATATGAAGCTGCTAGTTGAGGTTTGGTTGTAATTTATCGAAAGAAAAGTTTCAAATTCAGAAAGAATCGAGCTGCTCAGGTACATCCTAATTGTTTGAAAAGTGTAGATTGCACAACTCCTGCGCAACATCAGGCAGAAAAAGAGATGCAGAACTCACTATGAGGCAACCTTTTTGATGCGTCCACACCATATCTCTCACAAACTCCTTTTTTCTCCCATAAATGCGGCTCTTTGTATTAGCACGAGGCTAGAAAGCCGGGAAATGTAAAGTGTGAGTCGAAGTCAAGATCCTTTTGTTGTTGTAGAAACTTGTATCATCCTAATGTTTTGCCATTAACATATAGTCAATAATGAAACTTGTTGCGAAAAGAATAATGTTTTTGATAATGGTGACTAGCTGGACTATCTTTGCCAAACTATACTTTTTGTATGCACCTTTCTCTCTACATTCTATACCGTAATGTCGGTGTCCATACATGGTCGGTACTGAAATACCAGTCATCAACATCACAAGCGCACATGCGACACAGTGCACAGTTTGATGCTGTTGCTGCCATCGTACGTTCCAACGTTTCTTCTTCTGCGTAAGGATCTATTTTCTATAATCTTTGAAAACAAAACATTTTAGCTTGATTGTTTTAGAAACACTTCTCCTATATGAAGCTGTATTTGGCCAGAATAGGAGACCTTTCTTAGGATTCCCTAGAGGAGGTGCACTAGGAGGCAGCAGTGGCCTCCTTGGCAGCCACCGGGGTGCACTAGGAGGCAGCAGTGGCCTCTTTGGCAGCCACCGGGGTGCACTAGGAGGGAGCCTCTTTGGCAGAGGCTTTAATGGAGGATTTGGAAGAAGGTTTGCGCCTTTGCATTTAGGATCTCGAAGAAGCTTTCAAACATTGCATGGGGGAGCTGGAAGAAGATTTCACCCAAAGTACCAGGAAGCTCTGAGACGCTTTCATCCGAACTACCGAAGAACTGGAGCCTATCGAATTTACGGCCGAGATGGCGGTCTTAACAGAGGTTCTCGCGGTTGGCAGCAGCATCGCCAAGGACTAAACTACCGTGGAAGCCGTTTTTATGATCCACGCTATCGCCAATATCAAAGATTGAATCAAGGTAGAGGCCTTTATTCTGAAGGCCAGCACCGTAGATGGGGACAAGGCCGACGTTATCCTGAAGGTCAGTACCAGAGATGGAATCAAGGTAGAGGCCGTTTTTCTGACCGAAGTTATCGTGAAGACCAAAACCGCAGATGGAATCAAGGTGGAGGCCGTTTTCTTGAACGACGTTATCCTGAAGTTCAAAATGATAGAGTAGATCGAGATAGAGGCCGTTATCCTGAAGACCGAAACCATAGATGGGATCATAGGGGCCCTTATCCTGACCGACGTTATCCTGAGGACCAAAACCATAGATGGGATCATAGGGGCCGTTATCCTGACCGACGTTATCCTGAAGACCAAAACCATAGATGGGATCATAGGGGCCGTTATCCTGAACGACGTTATCCTGAAGACCAAAACCATAGAAGGGATCATGAGGGCCGTTATTCTGACCGACGTTATTCTGCAGTTCAAAATGATAGAGGAAGTGAAGGTGCCAGTAATCCTAACCGACATTATCCTGAAGACCAAAAGCATAGATGGGATCAAGACAAAGACCGTCATGACCAACGTTATCCTGATGATGAAAACCGGAGGGGTCGAAACGGAACCTCTCGTGCAAGAGGCTTTGGGCTGGCCTCCGCTGCAGTGGGTTATCGAGGAAATCTTTACGGCAGCTATTTTGCAAGAAACTACTATTGGCCATGGTATAGAAGATACTATGGAGCAGGCCTCTATGGCCGTTATTATCCTGGATTATTTGGTAGATACTATGGAGCAGGCCTCTACGGACGCTATTATCCTGGGTTAGGTTTTGGCGGTGGATATCCTGCGAGAGGATTTGGTGGCATTCCGTCAGGAAGCGGCTTAGGCGGAGGCAACATAGCAAGCTCTGGCAACGGCGGGCCTTTGTCTCCTTCCGTGAACAATCGTGAAAACATGGGGTGAGAATTTTATGTTTGAACTTGCATCGCAATACTCTATCCACTTCGAATTCACGTCTGTTTAAGCTTGACGCTGAAGAAACTTTTTGCCTGATTATAAAACTTCACCTTCTTCCTCCGAAAACTTTCTGAGTATCACTAAGCCGCATGGCACCACTTTATAGGTCACTAAACCGCATAAACAACAAAGCCATCTTCCAAGTAAAACATATTTCTTCAAATTTGAAACATGCCGCGCATATTTTACGCAAAAGCTCTGGATATTTGCACGTTGTTTTGAGATACGGTTTTTCTGGACCATAATTTTTGGCTTTAATTAACGGCTCAAACAGAGGCATTTACCATGGGAACCAAATTTATCAGAAGTATTTCAATGTTCAAAAATCAAAGCGCCACAGCATGCTAAGGGCAAATATGAAATCAATATTGAGCTTTGGACATTTGCTCCACATGTTTTCGTTGTCTTGCTGACGCAAATCAATTAATGTCCCTATTTCGACTACTTGCGATCACTGAAAAAGAAAACACAAAAGTCGATACATCAAACATGTCTCTCGTGATTCACCTGCCTTCGATAATCTTACCTACTTCGCAAAACCGGATTGGCGTCGTCATGTTATCAGAAAACAATAAAGAAACTTTTTGCACGGGAATGTGGTAGCGGCAGTTAACGTCATAGAGTTCGATGGTGTTTCATTGACAGTTTCATATCGTGCAAAACCTGAGAGTACCGTAATGCGAGTAGAAATATCATCGCCCCCCCCCCCGTGTATAGTTCATTTATGAAATCGTGACGACGGATTTGACTGCGGACTTTGCGCCCATAGGAGCATAAAAGCTCTCACAAGAAGGCATCACCTCAACGTTCATCTCAGTCACTTCCAATGTTTAAATATTACCATGCCTAAGCAAAAAAATCATTCGATCAAAGATGAAAACCAAGAAAATGCGATTTTCGGAAGTGGCGTGCGTGTCGCGCCATCGTCACGATTCTTCGAATGCTCTATAGACCCGAGTCTTTTGGATTAAAGGAAAATAATTTACTATTTTTCAGACACAATCCCGAGCAATCATTTACGCGGGAACAAGGCCCAGGAAGAAGAGGAGAACAAGGAGATGGACGTGGAATGGGCCAAACTGGAAACGCACCACGAGAGGGAGTTAGAGAAGGTGGTACGGAACGAGGCCGCAGCGGGAATTTCCCAATAGGAGCACAAGGAGCAGTGGAAAGAGGAGTCTTGCCAATGAGAGGAGGAGGTGTAATGGACAGGGGACCTAACGGAAACTTCCCGAGAAACGGGGGAGGAGGTGCAAATGGAAGAGCTCAATCCGAAAACCCGGTGGAACGAGGAAGAGGAGCAGAAAGAAGAGGAGGTGCAGCGAGTCCAGTGGAAGATGGACGTCGTGGAAATTCCGAGAAAATAGGAGAAGGAAAAGGTGTTGAGAACTCCAGAAGAGGAGGAAGTGAAGGTGTGGACAGGGGACGTAACGGAAACTTCCCGAGAAACGAGGGAGGAGGTGCAGATGGAAGAGCTCATTCCGAAAACCCGGTGGAACGAGGAAGAGAAGAAGCAGAAAGAGGAGGAGGTGCAGTGAGTCCAATGGAAGATGGACGTCGTGGAAATTCCGAGATAGGAGAAAGAAAAGGTGCTGAAAACTTCAGAAAAGCAGGAAGTGGAGGTGAAATGGAAAGGGAACGCAACGGAAACCTCCCAACAGGAGAAGGTAGTGAGATGGAGAGAGGACCTAATGGAAACTTACTGGGAAGAAAGGGAGGAAGTGCAGATGTAATAAGGCAGCCTGGAAATCCGGTAGAAGGAGAAGGAGAAAGAGCAGGAAGAAGAGGAAACGCGGGAGGCGAAGTAGAAAAGGAACGTAATGGAAAATTGGCAAAACAAGGAAGAGTACATGCAATGGGAGCTGATCTCGACAGTTCTTCTAAAGAAGGAAACCCAACAACAGGAGAAGGAGGAGGAACAGAAGGTCCAGTGGAAAACGTACGTAATGGAAACCTCCCAAGAGTAGAAGAAAACGTAGCGGAAAGAGGTCATCTTGAAGCCTCACCTTCGATATGGGGAGGTCCCGGCAATGAAGGAAGGAAAGGAAAAGGAAATACAAATGGAAACCGTTTTGAGAACTCTGCAGGAGAAGGAGGAAGCTCAGTGAAAAGCGAACGTTTCGAAAATTCTGCAACGGATGAAAAGACCTCTGGCTTTGGTAGAGGAGGTGAGTTTTCCTTAATTGAGGTATGGACATCGGCGCAAGCGCGGCAATGTTACACAAAGGAACGTATTTCTCCCTTAATGAATAGAAATTCAAAATTTCCTCATTCAACGCCAGCTGCAACTACCCTTATAGAAGGCTTTGCTTTTTGAATCTGAGATTGATACCATCCTAGGAGAGAAAGAATGTGAAGCCAAGCTCCTACAATGCGTGTTAAAGCAGGTGTAGAATAGACTTGTTAGAAACTCGTTTTGGCCCCTTACGGTGGGCATCTGGCTTTTGCAACTTCCGCCCAAATTAAAAAAAATTGCAGCCTTCATGCATGTAAATTTTCTCATTTTCTATTGCACACATGAACGCAAAATTCAAAAATGTTATTTGCGCATTGCAAATGAATTTTAAGCAGTGGGTGCAGATTTTCAAAGGCAGCAACATTCTTCACTTCGTATTTGTTTCCAACACTCCCTCCTCCCCCCCCCCCCCCTTCCCGTGCCATATCAGTGCGCTGCGGTAGCCGAAATGGCCATCCAAGATGAGATGTATGTTGCTAAAGTCAATCATGTGTCCTAATCAATAACTGCAAATCTGCAGAACATTTTTTTTTGTTGAGATAATGAGCAAATTTGATCGTTTATGACTACTTATGTATAGGAACGCTGCAGTACGTTCTCAGACAAATCGCAAATTATTTCCGGGGACTGAACTTCTAAAACTTCCGGGGCGGACGCTCCTATAGGGCCGTGTGGGTGAACCCCCGGCCTACCTGGCCGCGTCCTATCTGGCAGCTCCAATAGGAGTGCCCCCCCCCCCCCAAAGTTTTGGAAGTTCAGTTTTCCCCGGAAGTATTTTGCGGATTGTTTGAGTTGTATCATAGTCAAAATGATGTAGCGCGATTATCCTGGTTTCTTGCACAGAATATAGCACTTTCAAATCTCTCACAGGCAAGTTTTGTTATCACTTTTGATGCGATCTACGAAAAGCGTTTAGCAAACAGGATGACAGATCTGAGATTTGCATCCAACGCTATGCTTAGCGATAAACATCGCATTTCCAATGCGCACTTTGACCAATATTATGATAATTTCATGTTAGTAGATGGGTTTGATTCCTAAAATTAGAAAATGGACATGTAGCGACATGTCCATACATGTCCATAAATGTCAATACATGTATGGACATCACCGTCGCGTGGCCATATCTCGCTTCAGAGTGGACAAATTCTGAATCCAAAGCCATCATTCGATTCAGCTCGGCGCGGAGAATCTTCTGATATATTGGAAGTGGGGGTACGATGTCTTCGATATTCCGTTTCCAGTTTTTTCAACTTGTTCTGCGGAGGTCCTTTCGCGAATATGTGAAGCAACGCCTACCCAACATAGAAGTCCTTTCTAAGTACTATTCGATAGCACTGTTCTTGTAGATTATTGTGCGCTAAAAAATAGGCTCAGACTTCTTTCCAAAGGAGATAGAAGCGTTGGTGAATTTTGGAAAAATCACGCTTTAGCAAATTCTACTCGCTTTAGCTTCCTTCGGAATAAGTATATTTTGAATCCGAAAACAGCGCCTTGCTCAGCTCATCAAGTCGAATCTTCTTATATACAGCATGTCCTTGATATTTCGATTTCAGTATTCTTGAATCTTTCTGAGGACGTCTATTCGCGAAGGTGTAAAGCAGCGAGCATTGTCCCGAGTACGTTCCAGCAAGGATTTTTCGATAGCACTTTTCCTGTAGATTATGATGTGCTAAATAGTAGCCGCAGGTTTCTTTTCAAAGGAAATAGAACGGCTGGTGAATTGTGGAAAAATCTTGTCGTCCCAAATTCTACTCGCCATAGATACGAAGCTATCTTGCCAAGCAGATGTGAGTTTCGAAATCAGCAGGTCGCATAACTTCTGCGAGCAAGTTTTCCGATATGTTCGGGTTATTTCATTTTTCTCGTTTTGCGCTCCGGAAGCTCGCCGATGGATTTTGGTCAAAATTTTGATGTTTTTGAATTGTAAGGAAACTTCGCTTATAGAGGTTTTCGAACACGCTCTTTATCGCGGTCTTTGAGGATTACAGGGTCTTTTTGGAGAGATATGGTGAGGTGACTGCAACTGCATCATGAAAGTGCGTAACTTTGCCCGCACTTCTCGCGTATCTGTCAGAAACCTTGCCTGCTTGCTTTTCCCAGTCAAAGTTACTAAAAATTGTGCTATCAATGGTGCATGACTCAGGCTCCAATCTGTAAAATTCGCCGAGTTACGAGCCTACGAAAACACGTCCTCATGAATTTTGACCAAAATATAAAGATCGCATATCGTCGCTTCCCTGGTGTACGTTGGCGGAGCACTTGCAGACATTTGAACATGTTGGTAAACTTGTCCAACCTCTATCAAAAGACGTTGTTCTTTGTGATCTCTCGCTACCACCACTGCCACGTATGACAACAGCATATATACGTGGCAGTTTAGAGAGTACAAGAAACCTTTTTTTGCAGTAGAGGTTTGACAAGTTCATCATCGTGTTCAAATGTCTGCAAATGCTCCGCTCAACGTACACCGGGGAGGCGACGATATCTCGTAGAAATTCCTCCGTGAGCGCTTGTACAACGCGCTGATCTTGTACAATCCAAATTCTTAATGGATCTTATAGTGTTAGATTTGGTGCTTTGAGCTCTACCCACGAAATAGCTTTAATATTCAATTGAGCAGCTGACGCAGACGTAGGCACCATATTCAGTACAGTGGGAGTCGTTCGACGAAGCGAACATAATATCTGCAACGAGCGTCATACAAGTGCTCACGGAGGAATTTCGACGAAATTTGCAATTTTTATATTTTGGGCAAAATTCGTGAGGACGTGTTTTCGTATCCTCGTAACTCGGCGATTTCATAGACTGGAGCCTGAGTCATGCACCATTGATAGCACAATTTTTAGTAACTTTGACTGGGAAAAGCAAGCAGGCAAGGTTTCTGACAGATACGCGAGAAGTGCGGGCAAAGTTACGCACTTTCATGATGCAGTTGCAGTCACCTCACCATATCTCTCCAAAAAGACCCTGTAATCCTCAAAGACCGCGATTTTCATAAAGAGCGTGTTCGAAAACCTCTATAAGCGAAGTTTCCTTACAATTCAAAAACATCAAAATTTTGACCAAAATCCATCGGCGAGCTTCCGGAGCGCAAAACGAGAAAAATGAAATAACCCGAACATATCGGAAAACTTGCTCGCAGAGGTTATGCGACCTGCTGATTTCGAAACTCACATCTGCTTGGCAAGATAGCTTCGTATCTATGGCGAGTAGAATTTGGGACGACAAGATTTTTCCACAATTCACCAGCCGTTCTATTTCCTTTGAAAAGAAACCTGCGGCTACTATTTAGCACATCATAATCTACAGGAAAAGTGCTATCGAAAAATCCTTGCTGGAACGTACTCGGGACAATGCTCGCTGCTTTACACCTTCGCGAATAGACGTCCTCAGAAAGATTCAAGAATACTGAAATCGAAATATCAAGGACATGCTGTATATAAGAAGATTCGACTTGATGAGCTGAGCAAGGCGCTGTTTTCGGATTCAAAATATACTTATTCCGAAGGAAGCTAAAGCGAGTAGAATTTGCTAAAGCGTGATTTTTCCAAAATTCACCAACGCTTCTATCTCCTTTGGAAAGAAGTCTGAGCCTATTTTTTAGCGCACAATAATCTACAAGAACAATGTTATCGAATAGTACTTAGAAAGGACTTCTATGTTGGGTAGGCGTTGCTTCACATATTCGCGAAAGGACCTCCGCAGAACAAATTGAAAAAACTGGAAACGGAATATCGAAGACATCGTACCCCCACTTCCAATATATCAGAAGATTCTCCGCGCCGAGCTGAATCGAATGATGGCTTTGGATTCAGAATTTGTCCACTCTGAAGCGAGATATGGCCACGCGACGGTGATGTCCATACATGTATTGACATTTATGGACATGTATGGACATGTCGCTACATGTGCATACATGTATGGACATGTCCGACATGTCCATACATGTCCATAAATTCGCGGCTTTTTTCCAAAAATGTGAGCGGTATTGTATTTTCAATGCGTACCGCAGGTTGGATACCCAGAGC